TCTGTGAAACTGTCGCCTCTTTCGAGGGCTGCTGGGGGGCCCAGCACAGTGGGCATTCACGGCGGATTCACATGGGACCTCGCCATCCCTGGGGGGCTGCGATCTGTGAAACTGTCGCAACTTTCTTATTCAAATGGGACCTCGCCATCCCTGGGGGGCTGCGATCTGTGAAACTGTCGCCACTTTCGAGGGCTGCTGGGGGGCCCAGCACAGTGGGCACTCTCCGTAGACCCAAAAGGGACCTCGCCATCCCTGGGGGGCTGCGATCTGTGAAACTGTCGCCACTTTCGAGGGCTGCTGAGGGGCCCAGCACAGTGGGTACCCACGGCGGATTCAAATGGGACCTCGCCATCCCTGGGGGGCTGCGATTTGTGAAACTGTCGCCACTATCGAGGGCTGCTGAGGGGCCCAGCGCAGTGGGTACTCACCGCAGACTCAGATTAGACCTCGCCATCCCTGGGGGGCTGCGATCTGTGAAACTGTCGCCCCTTTCGAGGGCTGCTGAGGGGCCCAGCACAGTGGGTACTAACCGCAGACTCATATTAGACCTCGCCATCCTTGGGGGGCTGCGATCTGTGAAACTGTTGCCACTTTCGAGGGCTGCTGAGGGGCCCGGCACAGTGGGCTTCCCGCACGTCTTTCTCCTGCTCTTTGTTCCCGACTCCCCATGTCTTCTTCGAGCCTGTAGTTGTCGCCCCTCGTTCTTGTATGGTTTTCCTGCGCATCATGCCATTGGCGCGTGTCCCAAGTAGCTTACATATCAAACAACGGATCCTGCAATTTGATGGTCCGTGCAAGTTTCGGCCAACTCCTCGTTTCCCACGATACAAATGGGTTGGGTACGTCACAGGGTAATTATGGAAACGGTGAAAAAAAACGGCCCTGCCGTTTCCGTGGCCCACAAAGCCCCAGTGTGCTCTCCCGGATCCTCTTCGCGTGCGTGCGGCAGAGCAGCAGAGTGCTTTCTGTGCCTGCTAGTTCTGCGGGACAGGGCTCCTCCCTCCCCCAATCCTCTCCATTACCAGGCTCCCCTTTTTTCGCCACAAGAATTTCTTGAATCCATATTTGCATGCATGGGCACCCTCCGATGGGTTGTTCTTGGGCCTCAAGAGAGAGTGGCGGTGTATGAATCACCGCTGGGAGCCAGCGACTTTTACATCGCCGCCCTCCCTGAAGGTGAGCGTAAGATTCGTCGTCGGAGGGTGTCTGTGTATATATTTTCGTGGCGTACTACTGCTCAAGAGGCTTACGCTGCGACTCCCAGAAGAGGATATGTGAAGGTTCCGGTGTATTATATGTTTTCTGCCGTTTCCCGTCGCGATGTTTGCGTGTGGTTGTTGCGCTTGTGTCTTCATCCTTCATCCCCGTCTGTTGCGGGGCCGTTTTTGGGGCCTGTTGGGAGCATGTTGACGGTGTTTGGGCCATCTTGCAGGGTGGGTGGGGGGGGGGCGGGGGGCCCTGCTGGGTCCTCTAGGGCCCTTTTTGGGCTCCTCTCGGGGCCCTCCTAAGACTCGTGGCCGTCTTGGGGACCTCTTGAACCGTCTTCGGATCATACTGGGCTGTCACTGGGCCCTCTCAGGGAGGACCGTGGGCCGTGATGGGCCGCTCTGGGGGGGGGGCCCTCGCAGACCGCCCAGGGCTTGCAGACGCTCGGAGGGGCCAGCGCGGGGAACTATACAGCAGCGTGTTGTTTCAGGATCTCGTGCTCACCGCGGAACTCTTCCGCGTCTGAGCGCCCTCCTGAGGAAGAGTAGGAAGGAGGGAGGAGGAGGGAGGAGGAGGAGGAGGAGAAAGGAGGGAGGAGGAGGAGGAGGAGGAGGAGGAGGAGGAGGAAGAAGGGATGAGGAGGGAGGAGGAGGAGGGAGGGAGGAGGAGGAGGAGGAGGAGGAGAGGAGGAGGAGGAAGGAGGAGGAGGGGAGGGGAGGAGGAGGGAGGAGGGAGGTGAGGGAGGGAGGGGAGGAGGGAGGGAGGAGGGAGGAGGAGGAGGGAGGAGGAGGAGGAGGAGGAGGAGGAGGAGGAGGAGGAGGAGGAGGAGGAGGAGGAGGCGGAGCAGGAGGAGGAGGTCCTCCCTTCGCGCGGTCGCTCTGGTCTTGGCCGTTCCCTCGTGGCGCGCCGACCAATTCTTAGCGTGCCGCTCGCGCCCCGGGGAGCCCCACGCTGGAGCGGGTCGCCTCCTGCCTCCCCGCGGCCGACGGGGCAGGTCAAGGCTCTCGGCGTGCCAAAACGACGCGAAGAGCGGGACAAAATCGGCAATCGGCAATCGATGCCCCGACCTTCCAGAGAGCTATTTTTTAGCACTGGAGGCCTAAAAACCTAAAAAACTGAACGAAACAGCCTAAAACCAAGACGTATAATAGCTCTGGAATCGGTTTTTAGGTCGGGTGTTATTTTTTAGCCCTCCTGGAAGGTCAGGGTGGGCGATCGGGCTGATCCCAGGCAGCTCCCCGAACGCTCTCCGCGAGGCGCCGCTGCCGGATCCCGAGGCTGGGCAACCTGCGAGGATCCGACGACTCGCCGCCCGAACATCTCGAGCCTCGACCCCGTCGTGCCCCCTGCGCCTAGCTAAAACGACGCGAAGATCGGGACAAAATCGGATCGGGATAACTCGAAATCTCTGAGAAGCGGCGGGTTTGGAGGATGTATCGGGCGCCGCGGCCGCTCACAGAGCGTGCCGGAACGCTCCGAGAGCGCTCCGGAACGCTCTGGAGCGATGTATCCCGATCCTGACCCTGTTTTACGTGTGTTGCTTATCGAGGCTCTCTGGAGGGCTCTCTTGGTCTCCCTTGGGGCGTCCTTCTGGGCCGTGTGGCGGCCCTCTCGCGTGTTCGCGAGGCCGCCCTCGGGTCTGTAGGCGCTCCTCCTGAACCGTGCTGGGAGGCACCGTGGGGGCTCCTTGGACCTATATGTTGGCCACGAACAATGTTCCGGACGTTCCGGACATGCTCCGGACAAAAAGTTGTTCCGGACAAGTTGGTTGGTTGCGTTGGTTGGCCCTGGAGGGCGGCAGAGGTTGCTGCGTGCCCAGGGACGTCCATTGAGGCCCCTCCTGGCGTCGGAACACCCGATATCTACGTTCCTGAGCGGCCTGCGGGCCGCGGGCGCTACGAGGCCAGAGGGCCCTGGCCGGAGGGCCTTGAGGCTCCCAAGGACCTCGGAAGTGGGGGGCCAGGGACGTGGAATCCACGCGTTTGTTCCGGACAATGTTCCGGACAATGTTCCGGGCAGATTCGTTCCGGACGCGGTTCGTGGCCAACATAGCCTTGGACGAGATGCTGGGCCCTGGCGGGGAGAAGGAGACAGTCACATGTTTCACACGTGTACCCCAGGCAAGCGGATGTCGGCGGTTCCTTCCTCCTCCTCCCGCCTCTACCCTCCTCCTCCGCCTCCTCCTCCTCCTCCTCCTCCTCTCCCTTCTCCTCCTCCTCCTCCTCCTCCTCCCTCCTCCTCCTCCTCCTCCTCCTCCCCTCCTCCTCCTCTCCTCCTCCTCCTCCTCCTCCTTCCTCCTCCTCCCGCCTCTGCCCTCCTCCTTTCTATGCTCGCTCATTCCTGGCCCTCCGTTCCCTCCCTCATTCTGTGGCCTCCCCCCTCCGCCCCGTCCTTCTCTCTCCTGCGCCTTCCCCGTCCTCAGTTCCTCTATCCTCATCGCTCCCGCCCCTCATTCCCCCTCTCCGTTTTTCCTCGCCTCTCGTCCCTCCTCCTTTCTCCACAATCCCGCTCCCTGCTCTTCCCTCTCGGTCATCCCTCTGTCCCGCTCGCTCTTCCTTTCCTCCCTTCCCTCCATCATCTCCCTCCCCAGGCCATGGCGAGGAAGGGACGGGATGGCCTCTTCCGTATCGAGCAAAGCCTCCATTCCAGACGAGAAGGTGTACCCGCTCAGTTGGCAGCGGTCCTGGTTCAAGCAGGGTTTGGTTAAGTCTGTCTCTCTCTCTCTCTCTCTTTTTTTTCTCTCTCTCTCTCTCTATTTATCTCTCTCTCTCTTTCTCTTCGGGAACGCTGTGCTGAGCCAGCTTCTCCAACACATGGCTCATCCCCCAGCCTCTTCCACCGAACCTCCCTGCATCCATCCCTCCATCCCTCCCCCCACCTTTTCTCGAACAAAAGTCAAAATGAACATAATTGGTGGAGCTCCGGGGAGATGCCTTGGATCGGAGCGCGCCGGGGGCGGCGCTGGAGGCGCGTCGGGGGACCCAGTGCCGACCCGGGAAATCTGAGCGGAGTTGGGGAAGTTGATGTCTGTGCTTCCCCCCTCCTCCTCCCCCCCCCGCCTCCTCCTCCTCCTCCTCCTCCCCCTCCTCCTCCTCCTTCTCCTCCTCCTCCTCCTCCTCCTCCTCCTCCTCGGCGCGACACGCGCTCTATCCCCTTCCCTCCTCTCGGCGGCACCCCAACACACTGCTACTGTGTGTGCGTCTCCCCCCCAGGGGCTAGTATGTGCGTCGTTGCGGGCGCTGTCGGGCCACACCGTTCGGGGAACGATCTCCTACAAGGAGGTGTACTACATTTTCGTGTCGGACGCGCGCCTCCAAAGATAACATCTAGTACTCGTATGTCTTTCTGCGGCCCATCCTCCGCATCCTCAGATCCAGCGAGGCCTCGAGGGCCACCCCCGCCCTGGGCGTGACGCCCCCAGCCAGGGGCGTTTTCTCTAGATTTGCTGGCAAACTCAGACCCCAGACCTCCCTCGGGCAGTCCTCCCTCCTCCTCCTCCTCCTCCTCCTCTTCCTCCTCCTGTTGGGTCGCCTATGGCCCGGGGGAGACCGTGCACCCCAGACCCCCTCGTGCAACGAAAGCATCATGGCGGGAGGTTCTTCGCTATTTTCAGCTTTCGCGGGCCCTCGCCAGGCCTCGGGGCCGCCAGCAACCGATTCGGGGTGAGAAGCCGGTCCTGGGGCAGGGGTCGAGAAGTCTTTGGGGGTCGACGTAAGGAAGACATCACGACGTCGGGGGTCTGGGACACGAGGCTTTGTGGGAGCTCCGCTCCGTTCCGTTCCGTTCCTCCGGAGGCCCACTCCGACACCGAGCGCAGCGAGACATGGCAGAGCCCCGCCGACCCCGCCGACGCCCACGTCCAGCGCGCCGCGGGCTCTGCTGAGGCGCGCCCCCTCCGCCCCCCGCGCGCTCCTCGGGCGCTTCTCGCAGCGGCTGGCCCCAGGCATCCAACGCTGCGACCAAACATCTGAGACGAAGAGACGGCACAAACACACCCCGTGTCGTTGACAGCAGGTATTTTCTGGGATTCCAGGCTCCAATCTACTTTGGACGCCTCCTTACTTCAAGTGTCGAACAATTGTCCATGTTCCCTCCTCTTCAGGGGGCGGGTGGAGGTCCGCCTTCCGACTTCATGCTTCCACCCTCTTTCTCTCACCGATGGCTAAGCTTTCGGAGCTCCGATCGGATCTCCGAGAGTTTACAAGTCGGGATGACAAGCTGGCCCTGGTGAAGGGCTCTGGACCTCCGAAGAGATCCGCGATGAACAACTCAAGACATCAGAGGTCTGGGGCAGTGGTCAGTTACGGCGACTGGCTCTCGGCAACTACGGCGCGTAGTACGGCACCACCAACCACCACCTGTTTCGGGTCCCCGTATGCAGCTGGAGGATCGACAATCAGTACGGTCGAAATGGCTACGGAAAGAGTGGGTACGAAGACCGACAGCCACTCTGGTTCATTTTGGACACGAGTCGCTGTCGGTGTCGCCGCGGACGTTGTCCATTTGAGACAGAAGGCCGCCTTCCCAACAGCGGCCGCACATTTGCTGGTGGGCATCGTGCCCGTTTCGGGCGTCCAAAGACAAGGAAGTGGTTGTCCCGCAGCGTCAGGAGAGGGGCGACGAGCTCGCGTTCCAGACGCCTCTTGCCATGTGGTTTTTGACGACACTGATTATAGTGCCTTGCATGGAGAACGAAGATTGCTCGCAGCGATGACGAACTGAGCATGCGCAGTCAAATCGCATCATGAGGATGAGTAGCTTCCCAAGAGTACTAGGCGGACGGGGCTGGGACGAGGATGGATCTGTTTCAGAGCGTTCCGGGTCGCTCTGAGAAGGCCGCGGCGCTGCGCCCGAGACGTTTTCCAGAGCCGCCGGATATCAGAGAGTTTCGATTCATCCTCATCCGAAGGTTCCTTCGTCCTGGCCGCCGGATTTCAAAGATTTTCAATGTATCCTTATCCGAATTTGTTTAATCGCTTCGCTCACTCCGCCGGCCCTCGTGCGCTCTATGGGGCCTCTTTGAAGCCTCCTGGGGGTCTCTTTGGGGCCTCCTAGGGGCCTCTTGGGGGCCTCTTGGGGGTCTCTTGGGGCTCATTGGCGGCGTCTCGGGGCTCCCTTGGGCCTCTTGGGGGGCTCTTGGGGGCCTCTTGGGGCGGGGTAGTCGAGTGCACCCCCCTCGGAGGCCACGATCCTCGTGAGGTGTGTCGAAAAAATGCCCTCAAAACCATCTCTGGGTAGACTTGGTCGGGCTGCGGTCGGGATGCTTGTCGCCGGGGGACCCCCAGGGGCCGCCCCGCGCGCGCGAACTAGAGATATTGTTAACCAGTTGCCAGAGATCTTAGCATGCCTCTGGCCCGTTGGGCCGGCGAATTCTCGCCATCGCTTCGTCTTGGCCAGTGCCCCTCGATGTCATCGTTTCGTCGCCGCCGGATGTCAGAGAGTTTATTCGGTTCGACTCGGGATTCCGATCTGGGCTCCGATTTCTCACGGGAGGCATACCAGCCTGCCGATGCCCGCCGAATCGATGTGTCCCGACTTGGTTGCCGATTTCCGCCGATCCGATTCATTTCGATCGCCGATCCGACTTATCGATTCGATTCTGGGCTCTCATTCAAGGGTTTTTGCACCCTTACCGCGAGTACTTCTGATCCCGTCGCACTGCACGTGTAAATGCTACACCGCCCTGCAGTCGGTCGCTTCGTCAGGGGGGGGGGCGATACAGTCGGCCCCGATAAGCTGGTCGACCCTGCCAAAGCAAGGGTACCCTCGTGTCCTGTGTCTCGCGACCCATGGCAGTGTGGCCCTCAGAAGGGTCTTGTGTCCTCGCGCGTGTCCTCTCCAAACAGGTCCCACTGTAAAGGGGGGGGGGAAGAAGGGCACACCTTCCGTACCCGAGAGGGGCCCTGAGGGCCCCTTGGGGCCCAACAGGGATACGGAAGGTGCGCGTTTCCCCCCCCCCCACCCCACTCCCAGACCCCCGACGTCATGATTCTTTCGTTGCGTCGATCGCCAGAGTTCTCGACCCGATCCCCAGGGCCGGTTTCTCATCCCGAGTCGGTTTGTTGACGGTCCCGAGGCTCGGCAAGGGCCCCCCGAGGCCGAAACTCAGAGAATTCCTCCCGTCGTAATGTTGTCATGACCCGAGGGGGTCTGGGTTTGTCGCCCTCCCCCCCCATTGAGCCACGCAAGACCCAGATTCGTGTGACGACCTGCGGGGGCCAGACGTGCTGATGCCTGGGCGGAGGGAGGAGGAGGAGGAGGAGGAGGAGGGGGAGGAGGAGGAGGAGTTGGAAGAGGAGGAGGAGGAGGAGGCGGAGGCGGACGCGGAGGAGGAGGAGAGGAGGAGGCGGTGGAGGAGGAGGAGGAGGAGGAGGAGGAGGAGGAAGAGGATGATGATGAGGAGGAGGAGGAGGCTTGGTTGGAGGAGGAGGAGTTGGAGGAGGAGGAGGTGCGTCTGGCGAGCGCCAGCCGCGCGTGCAATGGACGCGCGCCTGCAGGTCCTCACAGTGGACCCGCCTGTGCTGTGCGGGGCCACCGTACGTACCACCGGCCTGTTCGATGCCACAGCTCGGCCCACTACCAGGCTTAAGTCGGGCGTGTCCTCCTACAGGGGGTTTTTCGACGAAAAATAAAAGATACCTCCACAATGCCCCAAGAAGTTCAAAAAATACTCAAAAAATAGTCCGCAGACTATTTTTGGATTATTTTTGGGCTGTTTTTTTGTATTTGTCATTTTTCGTCGAAAATCCCCCTGTAGGGGTACAGGCCCGACTTAATGCCAGGCAGGCCTAGGACGGGGATTCGGCGGCGAGCGGGGGGGCCTTCTCAGCAGGCGGCGGGACCTCTCAGAAGCCACCGTGCCTTCCGAGGGCAGTTCTTCCTCCCTGCGTCTCCGGGCAAGGCTTGGAGAGAATCCCTCGGGAGGCCAGGGGACTTTCGAGGAGGAGGAGGAAGAAGAAGAAGAAGAAGACGAAGAAGGAGAATAAGACGAATAATAATAATAATAAGAATAATAATAATAATAAGAAGAAGAAGAAGAAGAATAATAATAAGAAGAAGAAAAAGAAGAAGAAGAGGAGGAGGAGGAGGAGGGGGAGGAGGAGGGGGGCTTTCGAGGGCTCTGAGAGGGGGCCTTTTCTCGCCTCCCCCCCTCTCGATCGCCGCCGAGCCAGGCAGGCCCAGGATTGGGACACACGTCGCCCCAGGAACACACAGACACAATGAATCGGCGATTCCCCAGAAAATATAGGAAAATATGGGAAGTGGGGGGGAAGACGAAAACCCAGCAAATATGGGGAAGTATGGGGAATCCTGTTATTTGTGTGTATTTATTTGTGTGCTCCAGGGCCTCTTCAAAGACTCTGGAGCGGCCGCGGGGCCCGAGGCCCTGTGCAGCGGCGCCGGCTCTCTCAGGGAGCCCCGCTGCCTCCCGCGTCGCTGCTGTGCCGGCTCTGCGCCGTCGCCTCTCGGCGTCGCCCCAGCAAATGCCAGTACCACGTGTGCGTCGCCAGGAGGAGGAGGAGGAGGAGGAGGAGGACGAGGAGGAGGAGGGAGGAGGAGGAGGCGGAGGAGGAGGAGGCGGAGGCAGAGGCGGAGGAGGAGGAGGAGGAGGCGGAGGAGGAGGAGGAGGAGGAGGACGAGGAGGAGGAGGAGGCGGAGGCGGAGGCGGAGGCCCACCGACGCAGCAGCCGCCGCGGGCCCGCCGGCGGGGCCGGCCGCGCCGCCGCTCGGGGAGCGACCCATCCCCCCTGAGCCGCTCGCTCCGTCCGCCCTTCTGTCGGCCGCGCCCTCCCCCCGCTCCCCTGACCTTCCTTGAGGGCTAAAAAATAGCACCCGACCTAAAAACCTATCCCAGAGCTATTCTACTTCTTGGTTTTAGGGAGTTTCGTTCAGTTTTTGAGGTTTTTAGGCCTCCGGTGCTAAAAAATAGCCCTCTGGAAAGTCAGGGTCCTCCTCCTGCATGGTGTCACACTTCGCTGCAACGGCATCTCCGTTTAGGCCCGATCCATCGCCAGCGCAGACGTCCGTTGCCCAGCCGCCGACGCAACAAGTTTGCGTCGCAACCCCAGGGGCGACGCGCGCACCGAGAAATTCTGCAATACATGCGTCGTGGCGTGCGCTTTCTGGCCACACCGCTCGGGAAAAGGATATTTTACAAGATGGGTACACCATATCTTCGGGTCGGATGCATGTCCGCAAGGAGGACATATCGTATCAGTATGTCCCTGTGAGTCGCTCAATCCGCCCGCACTCCCCGAATGGGGGGGGTCCACGGCGAATGTGACAACTGGCCACGTGGGCAGTCGCGAAGATAGCTCTGAGGATTTGGGTGGGGGGCACCTCGGGCTTCGAGGGCAATGTCTCAGAGCGTGAATTACCTACCCCGCTTTCGCTTCCAGGCAAACCAAGTCATACCACGCGCCTCCTCGTCAAGCGGCCTGACCAGTACAGGCCGTAGTTTGGCATCGCTTGGTATCTCTTGGAAGCGAGGGTGGTCAAAAGCGAGGTATAGTTTGGTTCCCCCCTGAAAGTCAGGGGGGTCACGTTGCATCGTCGAGGGGCCTCGCCCGTCTCCAAACTTAGTCGGTGTTCTTGTGCCTATTCGGGCTCGGTGCGGACTCGACGCAGATGTGGCGCGGATTCGACGCCGATCCGACACGGATCCGAGGAGGCAGGCATGGATTTTTGCACATGGATTTT